GATCGCTCATATTAATAGAACTGGCAACGAGGCTGCACATCTATTAGCCAAACATAGGTTAACCAATTGTACTTTTTTTTTCTGGTTGTAAATTTCTACCTGCTTGGATAACACATACTTTGTATCATGACTCTATTAACTCCAGATAAATAAAAAAAAATTCGACAAAAAAATATATTATGATTATGTTAATTACTAATTTAAATGCATCAAAATTTATGTTATTATATATTTACTTAAAAAGTATATTATATAAAATATTATTATGTTAATTTAATAAAATATAAATATATATTTTTAATTGAAATTGAAGTATTTTATATAAACTAGATTACTACCCGTGCCATGCGCATGACAAATTTTAATTTCTAATTTATAAATAATGGTAATATAAAAGTGTACTATCTATTCTGGTTAGTTTATAAATTGACTAAATTTATATCTATTCTGGTTAATTTATAAATTGACTAAATTTGTATTTTTTTTTTAATATTGTTGGATATTAGATATTTATTATTAATCATATTTTGTATTTAAGTGGGGGTTTTAGTAATGATTTGGCTCAATACATATTTTTTTTTAAAAATAATTATATATTTATGAACGATTATTTCAGTTCAACAGATTAAAAAATTGATTGTATACGGAATATCTAATTTTTTGTTATAAAATTTGACAATTAAAAATTATTAAGAAAAAATTTAAAATTTGCAAAAATTTCATAAATTTAGTCAAACTACCAGAAATTATTGTCCTAAAAATTTAATCCTTACGAGTCTCAAATTAAGATAATGCTTTTCAATACATCAATCCTACTTTTCCTCCTGATTTGGAAAATAAACAGGCTTAAATTTTGTAAATTTTTTTTAATAAATAATATATAATTTTATATAATTAAAATTTGTAACGATAATATTTAGAATATAATGAATGATTTTTAAAAAAAAAAAAAAAATGAAAAAATATTGTATCTTGAAATTATGCACTAATAAATAATCACATATTGTTGTATGGATTTATGACGATCAAACATAAATTTTTTCCTTGCACAAAATTTAGAAGCTTCATGAAGACTTAGTCGTAGCTTTTATAGACGTCTTGTGAAAGTTTCATATTTTCCTCAAATGATTTGCTCTAGTTGTCAGTCGGTTGACTGCGAAACTGTTGACTGTTTGTCTTTAACATGACTTTCTGTGAAAATCAAACTTTTTTTTTAGTTCATTTCACCCTCTTCTAAAGAGGACACTAACAAAGTAAAAATAACACCTAAGATAAAACAATGCGACTGAAAACAATAATTTTTGTAAACAAAAAACCGAGCGATGACTCCACAAAGTTTTATTTGCTGTTATTTCATTAAGTGATTTTCTTGCAGAACCACATATAACTTTTAACAAAAAAAAGCACATATAAGGAAACATAATCCTTCTGATCATTGATCAAAACAAAATAATCCATTAAAATGAGAAAAGATTAAGATGCATCAAACGTTTTATGTATGTGGCCGATATATAAAGAAAAGATTAACATGCAAAAAACAAATGGATGTAGCAAATAAATTGAAAATTGACGATCTGTAATGTTTGACAAACATTTAATTCCCAAAGAAACTTACTGAGATTTCTATATTTCCATACAAAAAATTTGTGTGGCTGATATATGAGAAAAATATTAACATTAAAAAAAATAACGATGCCTAATGTGTTGTTTTCTCTAATCCCAACCCAATGAACTTTTAATTACCACTACACATCTGTTTATACAATTATCATTCCGAAAGATCTGCAATTATCATTTATACAATCCATTTTGAATATATAGTTATTCTTACTCTTATATTAACAGAATATAATGCTATCTTTGTCAATAAAGACGACATTTTAACAATAGTATATGTTTTAAGGTAGATACATGCATAATCAAAAATTTAGTAAAAATTTGCATTCCAAAATATATTTGTACATTCTGTATTTTGTGAAGATATGCTAACACAATATTTTTAAAAGGATTTGTTACCGGTTAAAAAATCTTCCTTTCTTTCGTTTAATATTCAAAAATTTATTAGTTATTGTAACCGCATAATAATATATCCGAATACTATTTTTAAATAAGTAAAATTTGCCATATAATTAGTAATCATTTAATTCGGTTTATAATCTAGTTGGATTGGTTTATATTTTATATGTACATCGATTTTGAAATTTTGGTTACTATTAAACCCAATTTAAATCAATCAAACTAAATCATAAACCGAATTTAACCTTATTGTAATCAGTAAGTATTAATTAATTAAATCGAGAAATATTAAGAATATAATTAATTAATTAAATCTAAAATATTAAGAATAATTGTGGTGTGAAACACATCACTTAAAATATATATAATTAAAATAATGATATGTTAGCCTACAGTGTTTCCTGTTTAATATATAATAGATATTTTATTAAAACAAAGATTCACTTAAATTTTTTATCATATTTATTTAAATAGAATTGTTTAAATTATATACAAAAAAACCTAAATATTAATTACAGATTTTTAAAATATTAAATACAATTAAAAAATAAATAATTACAGAATTTTTTATTTGGTTGTAAGAAAAATTGCGTTTGGTTGCAAGAATAAAGTATTTAAGCTTTTAACCATTTTAAAATTTAAAAAATTCAAAATTTTGAGATAATGACACATAAGCCACTAAGGCTTCCTATTTAATATATGTTAGATTATCTCTAATTCTATAATGATTTTTTTAAAAAATATTACAAATTTTAAAAATATTTTTTATTAACTATGAATAAATAACTTATTTTGTTTTAAATCAATAAATTTTTTTTTATAGATTAATAAAATTTTAACATTATTAATTTATTGAATTTTTATTATAACTAGGTATTTACCAGTGCTATGCTGTGAGATATTTTTCTAAAATTGTATATATTTTAATATAATAAAATTATTTATATATTTTAAATGAGTATTATATTTACTTTTTATTAGCTTAAGTTTGGAATTTATATGTTTTAAATCTGAATAAACATTATATATCATTAGTTTTTTTTTATTTTTTAAAATTATAATCTACTATCAAATTTGTTTAGCTAACTATCTATAAATGTATATGTAAGAATAAAACAATACATTTTTAAGTACCTTCAAGCTAATGGTAGATGTAATTTATTTTCTCTACTAAATTGCTATTTGATCTTCCTTTGAAATTATATAAAGCAAATTACCATTTAAAAAAATATTAATTAATATGATTATTTTAAATTATAAAATTTATTTATTTATCAAATATTTATTATAGACATATGTTTCTAAAACTACTAAACTATAATCAATAACATTCATATCAAAATTATTACTATTACTTTAGAACTAAATAGAAAGTTCTATTTGAACTGTTGAAATATCAATTTAATTGAAGTTAAATAATTCAATTTTGGTTACTATAAACATATTATAACTTGAAAAGTTAGCACAGAGAAAATTTATCTTTTTACAAAAATCGAGAAATTGCATTTTCTGACAAAACAAAAAAACATTATATCCCACGAAACTGAAAAATCGTCTATTCCCGCCAAAGCAAAAAAAATTCATTTTCTCGTCAAACCTGAAATTTCATTTTCCTACCAAAACAAAAAAAATTGCATTTTCCCTTAAAAGCCAAAAAATCACATTTTCATGTGAAAACCTGTGTTTTTCCATCAAAACAGAGAAATCAAGTTTTTTCACCAACACCAAAAAATTATATCTTCCTGCAAAAACAAAAAATAGTACTTATCCGTCAAAACCAAAAAATTATTTTCCCGTAAAAATTGAGAAATCGTCTTTACCACCAAAGCAAGAAAAAATTATTTTTCTCGTCAAATCAAGAATCACGCCTTCCTACCAAAACCGATAAACTACAATTTTCCGCAAAAACTAAAAATTGCATTATCTCTTGAGAAATTGTGTTTCCCACGAAAACTAAGAAATCATATTTTCCCTCGAAAACCAAAAATCAAATTATATGTCAAAAACTGAAAATTTGCATTTCCCATTAAAACAAAGAAATTGATTATTCCCGCCAAAATCGAGAAATTTTGCTTTTCTATCAACCCGAGAAATTGCATTTTCTGCCAAAATTGTCAAATTACAATTTTCCGTAAAAATCAAGAAATTACATTATCCATCAAAAGCGAAAAATTTGCATTTTCTATCAAAACCGAGAAATCGTATTTTTCGTCAAAATTGAAAAGTTGCATTTCCCTCGCATTTTCTCGTCAAAATCAAATTTTTTATTTCTCACTAAAACCAAAAATTCACATTTTGCCCCCAAACCCGAGAATTCGCTTTTTTCCGCCATAACCGAGAAACTATGTTTTCCTACCAAAACTGAAAATCACATTTTTCTACCAAAACCAAAAATTCTCTATTTCCGCCAAACCCAAGAAAATATGTTCTCGGTAACCAGTGGAAATGCGAATCTCCAAGCTGTGGTGGTCTGAGTTTCTCCTCATTTGCTTTCGTCTTCCATTTTTTTGTAAACTTTGGGCTTTTTAATGGGTCAACAAAATAGTAAATTGATTTTATTAGTGTGTTAATAATATGTAGTATTGTTATGTTTTTATTGGTTCAAATTTTTGCTGATGTGTGAGCTTCTTATAACATAACCTTTTTTGCATTGTTGTTATGGAAGCATAATTGATGATGAGTCTACAATTTCTTTAATCATATATGTCTTTATCAAGCAAACATATAGTTAGAAATTTTATTTTTTTTGTTGTTATTTATTATTTGAGTTTCGGTTTGGTAAAAATATAAAATAAAGATTTAATTTTATTATTTGTTGTTATTTATTATTTGAGTTTGTTAAAAAACATAAATTTTTTTTTTATTTGCTGTTATTTATTATTTGGGCTTGGCCTTGACCAAAAAATAAAATTAAAATTAACAATAAAAAATATTTAAGTTTTTAATAGATTTAAATTTAAAAGTTAAGATAAATTGATGACTTGTATTAATAATATGTTTTTATTGATATTTTTTTTTTGCTGAAATGTCATCTCCTAAAATTTTGAAAATGCTAATGTATGGAGAAATTTAAAATTATATAGTTGTTTATCAAATTCTCTCTTTTATTAAAATGGCTGCAAAAAATTGGACGGAAAGGGACAAAAAAGAAAAAGAGAAGAGATGATATAGAGTGACTCCTCATTGGTTCAATCACCGTCACTGATCGTTCTCGTAGCTTCGTACAGAGATTTCTCGAAGGAATTCATCACTCTCTTACCGACTTTATCACTGATTGTGCTATCAATTTTTTATCCGTGGGTACGATTCATTTTAAAAAAAAAATCATCGAGAAATTACTAAGATATCGATCCTTGCCTTGATCATACTTTTTAGCATGTTAGAATTGCTGATTCGATCTACAATTTTTCAGATATGTCGAAGATTGGGCAGAGAGGGATTCACTGCTTACAGAGACTCAATACGGCGCCGTTCACGAGCGTGTCTGCTTCTTTGATCGAGAAAGGGCAGAATCGTGTGATTGATGCTTCGTTAACTCTCATTCGTGAAAGGGCAAAACTCAAAGTATACACTTTGATATTAAAGCTTTTTTTTTCATTTTGAATGGTTTTTTCTCCTTTCTCTGTTTGTTAATATGAAAATTGTGTATATTGTTGTTGTGTAGGGAGAGTTAGTGCGTCTCTTAGGAGGATCTAAAGCTTCAACATCTCTTCTTGGTGTACCACTTGGTCACAACTCTTCTTTCCTTCAAGGTCCTGCTTTTGCTCCTCCAAGAATTAGAGAAGCTATTTGGTGTGGTAGCACAAACTCCTCCACTGAAGAAGGTAGCTTGAGTTTCGTTGCGATTTCGTGTTTTGAATGTTGGAGACTTTCATGTTTTGTATAGATTCTTGATTCTGAATGTGGCTTGTGGAGTTTATTCTTGTATTTGATGGTTTTATAGTGTGAAACCATGAGGTGTTTGTTGTAATTAGATCACTCAAGTTGTGCTATAACATTCATTGATCTTCCTTTTTTACGAGTTATTTGTGTTGTGTGCTTGTTTGTGCTTAAGATTCATTTGCAGAATATATTGTTGCGATTTTTGTTACAAAATTGTGTTTTTTATGATGGAGACATACATGTTTTGTTTAGATTCTTGATTCTGAGTGTGGCTTGTGGAGTTGTACCTCGTATTTGATTGTTAGATAGTGAGACTAATAGGTGTTTCTTGTAATCAGATCACTTATCTTGATGTCATAGTTTGCTATTTTCATCTATTTTATGAAAAATTTAGCTTATCTATATTATGAATTAGTATTTATAGTGTCATATATTGTTGCGATTTTTGCGATACTAACTTGTATTTTAATGTTGGAGGCTTTCATGTTTTGTATAGATTCTTGATTCTTAATGTGGCTTGTGGAGTTGTTTCTTGTATCTGATTGTTTAGTAGTGTGAAACCATGAGGTGATTGTTGTAATCAGATCACTCAACTTGTGACTGTAACAGTCATCGATCTTCCATTTCTACTAGTTATTTGTTTTGCGCTTGAGATTAAACTTTGGAATATATTGTAGGTAAGGAGCTAAAGGATCCTCGGGTTCTAACCGATGTTGGAGATGTTCCGGTACAAGAGATTAGAGATTGTGGGGTTGATGATGATAGACTCATGAATGTAATAAGCGAATCCGTAAAGCTTGTGATGGAAGAGGTTAACTATTTAACCATTATCACTAGTGTTATGCTGTAGTGTTCGAGATCAGAAGAGAGTTGTATTTAGTCTATTGTGATACTTATTTGAACATCCTTGATAGTAGCTAAAAGTCCAAAGTAATTGAGATTTTGTTTGTTGTGTTAGGAACCATTGCGTCCACTGGTACTAGGTGGAGACCATTCAATATCTTATCCCGTGGTTAGAGCGGTTTCTGAGAAGCTTGGAGGACCTGTGGACATTCTTCATCTTGATGCACATCCCGATATATATGACTGTTTCGAAGGGAACAAGTACTCTCACGCATCTTCCTTTGCTCGTATCATGGAAGGTGGCTATGCTCGGAGACTTTTGCAGGTTAGTCCATAGTCGCTGTTGTTATATGCATTGCAACCTTAGGGAAAGATAATCTTAAGGGTAACCCAAAACTTTATCGTAGGTTGGGATCAGATCGATAAACCAAGAAGGGAGGGAACAGGGCAAGAGATTTGGAGTTGAACAGTATGAGATGCGAACCTTCTCAAGAGATCGCCAAGTTTTGGAAAATCTGGTATATCCCTCTCTCTCCCTAAATTTAGACTGACAAGAGTGGGTAGGCCTAGTCTGGGTAAATTTCGTGAACCGAACCAAAATTCTCGAACTGAACCAAAATTCCGGACCTGTACCGAACCAAAATTATAAAAGAAACCAAATAGAATAAAAAAATTTGTAAACGAATTAACCGATTTCAAACCAGGTTAACAAATAAATTATTATTTGAGTATATAAATCAGTTTATTATGTTTGCTTTTGTTTTAATCTTTTTATGTAGAACCAAATCACAATTTGTTTTTTTTATTATAAGTTCTTTTTCTAAAACCGCATCAAACTAAACTAGGGGGGTTATTGGAATTATAAAATTTTGATTGATTTTAAGAGTTGAGAGATTTGTTAAATTTGTTAAAAAGATTTGTTGAATTTGGAAAGAGTTTGTTTATTTAGAAAATCTATAAAAATATTTTATTATAATGTCTTTGAGAATCTAAGGAGGTGTTATTGGTTCTTGTATTTTAATGGATTTGAAAATCCAAACTAAATTCAGTGTTATTGGTTCTTGTATTTTAAAATTTATATTGAAATACAGTGTTATTGGTTCTATGATTTTAAAATCCATAATGAAATACAGTGTTAAATTTGGAAAGAGTTTGTTTATTTAGAAAATCTATGAAAATATTTTATTATAATGTCTTTAAGAATCTAAGCTATATAGGTAATATTTTGAAAGTCATCCAAAATCTTGTTATATGAGTTAAATTGTTTAAAATTCATATTCCTATAACACAAAATTTTAATAGAATCATAAAATCTTTAAAAACCAAACTTTTTGAGTAACAAAAGATTTTGGATGGAACAATGGATTCCAGTAAGATTTTAAGAATTAATAAACCAATAATGATGGAATCTCAAAATTCTAAAAATCTATATAAATACCTCTCCCAATAACCCTCTAAAGATTAAAAGTGGCAGGCCTGGAAGGGTTCCCGATTTGAAAAACCGTGGTTCAAAATTAGAGTTTGGTTAGGCTTAGTAGTAAAATAAAGTTCGGGATTAGTTTGAGGAATTCAGTTCGGGCTTTGGTATTCACTCCTTTTGTGCATTTGGTACATACTAGCGCTAGTACATACATTGAATGGGGTTTTTACAGAAATTAGGGGAAGGAGTGAAAGGCGTGTATATATCGATCGATGTTGACTGTCTCGATCCGGCATTTGCACCCGGAGTGTCCCACATTGAACCAGGAGGTCTCTCTTTCCGAGACGTCCTCAACATTATACATAACGTTCAGGGAGATGTGGTCGGTGCTGATGTTGTCGAGTTCAACCCGCAACGTGATACTGTTGATGGCATGACTGCAATGGTTGCGGCAAAGCTTGTTAGAGAACTAGCCGCAAAAATCTCGAAATAAAGCATGCAAAATGGTATTTTGGAGTTTCTGTTTTAGTTTTGCGATGTATTTTTTGTGTTTTATTTGCAAGTTTGTAACTTTCTTGTAGGTTCGTGAAAAAAAAACATCCAATAAGTCTGACAACTTAGACGGGGCATCGAATAAACTAAATATGAATTTGGCTTTTAGACCCAAATATCAATGTTCTATATAGAAATAGTGTCTGATAATGTTCAGATCCTGACCAACGCAAACTACTTTTGGAAGATCGTCTTTAGTTAAAACTTTGTGTGCATCCTTTATTATGGGGTTGATTGGTTTATGAACTAGGAAATGAATGAATGCAAAGAGCCAAATACGAGAAAATAATTTTCGGCAAGTAAAACCTATAAGTAACAAATATTTTGCAACTCTACTTCAGTTTTAAAAAAATGCATGTCAATCCCACAAACTCAAAAATAACATTCAATATAATCCTCGTATATAGTTAACGTGTCAGTTTTCCTTGACTTCTTTGCCGGAGAGGGCTTCTTTATTTTCTTTGGCCGGTGCTTTAACTATGGTTTTAGTGTGGTGGATCTGGACTCCTAGGCGATACTGCATTGGCTCGGTGGGTGTCTCCTCGGCGGTGGTGTTTTGTGGATCTTAGATCTAACGAGTACTAGATTGGGGTGAAGCTTAGTGTCATTTTCCGGTGAGTCTTGTTTATGCTCTCTTCTCGGTTGGGTCTTCTAGTGTTTCTGATTGTTGCTGTGGGGTAGCCAGTAGGAGTGGATGTTGCGGCGCCGGCGAAGGGTTCTTGAGGGTTGAAATTGTCGGGGTTCTCCTTAGTAAGGCCGGTTGTTTTGAGGGCGCAGCCAGTTCATGAAAAGAGATCTCCGGCGACAGCAAGGGTTTTGGGGTTCGAACTGTCGAAGTTCTCATGAGTAAGGCCGGTTGTTTTGAGGGCACAGCTGGTTCTTGAAAGGATATCTTCGGCGATGGTTAGACGTGGATCGGATCTCTCTCCTTCTCTCCAAAGTCGTCTCTTTTTCTCTGGGCGAGCTCTCTTGCTGTGGTGTGAAGGAGGTCTTGGTTTTCTTCATTGAGTGGTGGCGCTTTTGTAGGTTCGTTCCAGTTTCAGATTTCTCCGGGGGCGGCTTCTCGACAGCGGACGTGGCAGCGGCTTCAGCAAAGTCATTTTTCGTTTTAGGGTTTGGTATCTCCCAGTTTAATCAGTTTTGTGCTTTAAGCAAGCCCATTAGGGGTTTATTGGGTCTTGTTTTATTTTTTTTTCTGGTTTTTTTTATTTTATTTGTACATTATAAAACCCAAAAATCCAAAAAAATTTCAATATGAAAACCTTTTAAGAAAAAAAAAATAGTTAACGTGTAAGAGCTGTTGTATATTTTCAATGTATTTTTAAAAGACATTGTTTTCTTGTTAATCAAACTTAGCCCAAAACAAACAAAAACCAAGCTTAGAGTTCACCGATGGTTAATTGTAATCCGAAGTACCAATGTATCACATGTAACAATTTACAACTTATAAACTTTTGAAATTCTAAATCTAATGGCACCAATCTGACACCATGATATCAATTACTAAGTTGAAATTTCACCGTGAAGTTTCAGTTCTAAAATTATAAAGCGAAATTCTCATCAAATTGTCCGCTAAGATTTAAGCTTTTAAACCTACATAAAATAGACTTTCTTATAAAATATATTTTATTAGGAATCCCTTTCCTTCCCTGTTAGTCTCCAAATTTGCGTTAGTGATAGAGTGTGGATAATAGGGCACATGGAGGGTATAGATCTAACAAGAATAAACAGCTGAGATGAAGCGCATGTTGACTCGAAGGGATTTATAGGGAGGAAGAGAGAGAAGAATGTTTTTTTATCAGAAATTGGTTAACAATGTAACGATCCAAGTCCACCGAAATTGGGAAAAGCCCAACAAAAATTGCCAGCACAGCATGGCCCAAACCTAATAAACCCCACGTTGCATTCTTCTTCCTCCATCTTCAAAAAGCCGCATCGACAAATCGGAGAGACACAAGCTTTGCTGATCATGCCGAACCGCTGCCCAGATCACGCCAGAACCACCGTCACCGTTTCAGACCAAGTCGGCGTCCCTGCTCGTGATTCCGTAAACGTGAGACGGAGTGCACGCCAGCAACCCCGAGCCGCCGTCTTCTCGATCACGCCGCCGCTGTTCACCGTCGCCGCTGTTCACCGTCGCCGTTGATCTGCTGCTCCGAGTCATCACTGTCGTACCTGAGTCGAATCATTGGTAAGCGGTTCATGTTTCCCTCATCGTTTCCTTCGTTTGATATTTCCTCGAGAGCATCGTAACTTAAAACGCCATTGTTGATGTGTACCTTCAGCTGCAAGTCATCTCCTCCATCTTGTGTGTTGTCGTCATTGTTGATTATCGTTGGTGAGCCAAGATTCCCACCTCCTTTTCGTTGTTGATCATGTTATCATTTTTCCGAGAGTTGTCATGATCGTAACGTGTGTTGTTATTATTTCGTTGCTTCAGCCTCAAGTTACCTTCGTTTGTGTTCAGATCAGTTTCCCGTGTGTCCATAATCATCCGTTCATCCGAAAATCAAATGGTGGGATTCGTGGATTCTTAAGGTTTCTACTTAATTAATATCCGGAGATACTGGTCTAGAGAATTGTTTGTTGATTGTGGTAATATGAAAGATTGATTATATTTAGTTGTTTATGCGTATGAGATGAGGATATATTAAGTAATATGGAATGTTAGCGAAAAGTATATCTGATGATGATTAGAATCTGTTGAGTAATTTGAAATGTTATTCAGAAGTATATGTGAGTTGTAAAGTCGGACTGAGAGTGAGGACATGGCGATCCCGTTTAAGTTTGTACTTTGGCGAAGTCGGAATGAGAGCGAGGACATGGCGATCCCGTTTAAGTCTGTACTTCAGTGCAGTCGGACTGAGAATGAGGACATGACGATCCCATTAAAGCCCGTTAATCGGCTGACGAGCCAAAGGGTGGTGGAAGACCTTTTGAGGTGCCCGACCAGTCCAGTGTCATGATATTTTAACATATCCTGTTATAGTTAGTGCTACTTTAAACAATGCAGAGCTCACTTTACTGCTAAGCAAGCTGCGCACTTTTCGCAAAGCTCTTGGCTATTCTCTTGATGACATTTCAGGTATCTCTCCAGAGTTGTGCATGCACAGGATACACCTTGAGGATGAGTCACAGTCGTCAATTGAGAACCAGAGGAGGCTGAATCCGAACTTGCAGGATGTAGTGAAGAAAGAAATCATGAAGCTTCTAGCTGCTGGGATTATCTATCCGATTTCAGATAGCACTTGGGTCAGTCCAGTACATGTGGTTCCTAAGAAAGGAGGAGTCACAGTGGTGAAAAATGAGAAGAATGAGCTGATTCCCACAAGAACCATCACTGGACACAGAATGTGCATTGACTACAGGAAGCTCAACGTTGCAACAAGGAAGGACCACTTCCCACTGTCATTCATTGATCAAATGCTGGAGAGGTTGGCAAATCACTCCTATTACTGCTTCCCGGATGGCTACTCTGGCTTCTTTCAGATCCCCATTCACCCAGATGACCAGGAGAAGACCACATTTACTTGTCCTTATGGCACCTTTGCGTATCGCAGAATGCCATTTGGACTTTGTAATGCTTCTGCGACATTCCAGAGGTGCATGCTTTCCATCTTTACAGACATGATTGAGAAGTATATGGAGGTCTTCATGGATGACTTCTCAGTATATAGATCCTCCTTCAAGGACTGTCTTGATAATCTCTGTCAAGTGCTTGCAAGATGTGAAGAGAAGCACCTAGTTCTGAACTGGGAGAAATGCTACTTTATGGTCAGAGATGGAATTGTACTTGGACATCGAGTTTCTGGTGAAGGCATTGAAGTGGACAAAGCCAAAATCAAAGTAATGACAAGTCTGCAGCCACCAGATTGTGTGAAGTCAGTAAGAAGCTTTCTAGGACATGCTGGATTTTACAGGAGGTTCATTAAGGATTTCAGTAAGATTGCAAGACCACTCACAGCTCTGTTTTGCAAGGATGTGAAGTTTGAATTTACAGAAGAGTGTCATTCAGCCTTCTAGCAAATCAAGCAGGCATTATTGAGCGCCCTCATTGTGCAGCCTCCTGATTGGGATCTACCATTTGAGGTGATGTGTGATGCTTCAGATTTTGCAGTGGGCGCTGTTTTGGGTCAGAGAAAGGAGAAGAAGCTTCATGCAATCTACTATGCAAGCAGAACCTTGGATGATGCTCAAAAGAACTATGCAACTATAGAGAAGGAATTGTTGGCTGTAGTATTTGCATTTGAGAAGTTCAGACAGTACTTGGTTGGAGCTAAGGTGATTGTGCATACAGACCATTCTGCTCTCAAGTTTTTGATGCAGAAGAAGGATGCAAAACCAAGACTGTTGAGATGGATTTTGCTACTACAAGAGTTTGACATTGAGATAAGGGACAAAAAAGGGATTGAAGATGGGGTAGCAGATTGAAGACAACATCCCCATTGATGATTTCCTGCCAGAGGAGAATATATGTCTCATTGAGGCAAGGTTGCAGCCTTCAGAAGTGGAAGACTTGCAGTTTTTTCGAGCTGCAGACAGGGTGTCGATCGACATCCACCACTTGGTGTCGATTGACACCAACCTCGAGCCGAGCCAATATCGAGCAGGATCGACATCACCCTCGTCACCAAGTCGACACAGACTTGGTGTCGATCGACACACCCCATCTGGTGTCGATCGACACCAGTCGTGAACTGCCAATCTACTTCAGCAAATCCTGCGTGATGTCTTCTCTCAGCCTATCTTTGCAGTTACAGCCTCTTCTAGGCCTTGGTATGCGGATATTGCCAACTACCTAGCTGCAGATGAGGTCCCTGAAACCCTCAAAGGCTATGAGAAGAAGAAATTCATGAGAGAACTGATGAGATATTACTGGGATGAGCCTTACTTGTACAGGCACTGTTCAGATGGAATCTACAGAAGATGTCTTGCAAAAGCTGAAGTTCAGAATGTGCTGTTTTACTGTCATGGGTCTGAGTATGCAGGACACTTTACTACTTTCAAGGCTGTCTACAAGGTCCTACAAGCAGGCTTCTGGTGGCCTACAGTGTTCAAGGATGCTCAGACATTCATCTCACAATGTGATGTCTGCCAAAGGAGAGGGAAGATCAGTAAAAGACATGAGATGCCTCAAAACTTCATACTTGAGGTTGAAGTTTTTGACTGCTGGGGCATCGATTTCATGGGACCCTTTCCTTCATCTTATGGGAATAAGTACATCCTGGTTGCAGTGGATTATGTCTCCAAGTTGGTGGAAGCAATTGCCAGTCCACACAATGATGCTGCAGTGGTCCTGAAGTTGTTCAAAACCATCATTTTTCCCAGGTTTGGAGTACCACAGATTGTGATCAGTGATGGTGGAAAGTATTTTATCAAGAGTGTTTGAGAAGCTGCTGCAGAAATATGGAGTTCACCACAAAGTTGCCACACCTTACCACTTTCAGACAAGTGGTCATGTTGAAGTTTCCAACACGTAGATCAAAGAAATCCAGGAGAAGACAGTTGGAAAGACAAGAAAGGATTGGTCAACCAAGTTAGATGATGCACTTTGGGCCTACAGAAATGCAAAGGAAATGCAAACTATACTCTAAATGCAACCTAAGTCTAAAAGGAGAAGAAAATGAGACAAAAGCAAAGGGAAAACATGCAAAAGAGAATCCAAATATGTACTAAATGCAGCCCTAAATGGTGTAAATACAAAGGATATCAACACCCCCACACTTGCCTTTTGCTTGTCCTCAAGCAATCAAGAACAAATGGGAGAGTGAGGTTTGAAAATGGGCATTCAGATTCCAAAAGTGCATAGGTAAAGAGATGGTTTTAGTGCTTACGTGCCTAGTTGTAAGATGCAAACATAATCAGCTATACTTTAAAGAACCTAGCCATGCTCATCATGTTTCAAAATGATCTCAAATCTCAACTTAGACAAATGCTCAAATCAATCAACTTTTTAACATTCAATTAAATTCAGAACATGAATCATGCTTATGCAAATGAAGTGAAGACATTTGGTTGAAAAAGGTAAGGTTATGAGATAATAATGATCTCATTTAAGCACAAGGGTTCAAAAACATAAAAGATCACTCAATGAAATGACTTCATCTTAGGCAAAATGCTAAAGGTAAAAGCACACTTATGCATGCAATTCAAAGCTCTCTTCTACCCTTACTTCCCAAGGATGAGTCCTAAGCATTTCTAAACCCAAGAGTGAACCCTCTAAGTCTACCCTTTCCTAGATTCTACCATTTACCCATCTTCATGGCTGGGGAAACTTCTTCTTTTGCTTGTGTGGCTGCTTCTTTTTGGTTGAGACTTGCTCTTCTTTGTTGTGTTGGCACCTTCATCACCTTTGGTGGATTGCTTCTTGGTCAGATTTTTCTTCTTTTGGACCTTCCTAAGCATTGTTGTTGGCGCCAAACCTTCTTTTTAAACTTAGAGCTTTTATTCCCTTTACTTAACCACAATACTAAACTGTTTCCCCTTTTCTACCATTTCAGATCTTTTCCCTTTTTTTCAAAACATAAAAACATTAAGCTCAAACCACCTAACTCTACCCTTTTAAACCCCAAAACTCCTATCCTAGAATCAAGCTCAAAATGCAAGCTGATATCTATAAGAGAGCTAATCATTGCCAGCCTTATTTCTAACACTTTTGCCAAGACAAAATCGAAAATGCAATGCAAAGGCCTTACAGCTCTCACAATAGTGGCGGAAGACCTTTCGAGGTGTCTGACAGCCGAGTTGTCTTGTTAATTGTGTTGAGTCGTAACGTGATTAGTGTAATATTGAATTAGCCGTGACTGGAAGTTCTTATTGATGGTTGTTTGCTCTAAAGTTAGTATTTACGTGTATTGTTAAATAATAGTGTTGGGAATCATGTAGGCGAAAATGACCTTCTTCACTGAGTGACTTTGTTACTCACCCCCTCCCTTTCCCCTCTTTAGTGTGTGCAGGTGTATTTCTTGTGGAGAAAGTTATGGCGCGAGACATATGACACAAAAGTGACAGGAACGGGTGACACAAAAGCCTAGGTTAGCCAAACCGGTTTTGACCCGGAAGGCTGGTCCTAGTAAAAGAAAAATGTTTTCAAAGTTATTTTTAAAATAAATGTTTCTGGAAACGTTCAAAATGATTTGGTTAAAGTTTTCAGGGAAAATGATCTTTAGTGTCTAAGGTTTCGCGCTAGTGTTATGTTGTTTGGTGGTAAGTCTAAAGTTGATTAAATTGTTGGGATATGCGTGCTAATTAGTTTCATACAAAAAAGGGGGATTGTGTTGTGTCCGGTTAGAATAGGGTAGCACTACACTTTGTTCAATAGTTGATCCACACCTAGTTGTGAGGTTCGTATTGACAAAGTGTTGAGCTTTAAGAAGCGTGTTGTTAAGAAGTTAAAGAAGAATTGGAGCCTCGATGGTAGCAATAGTGAAACCTTGAAGAAAGATCTAGAGGATGATGAATTCAACTAAAAAAATTGGCGATGCTCAAGAATTGTGTGGAAATAAGGATTAGTTGGCTACAATCTCCATTGTGGGAGAAAAGACGGAGAAAGAATTGAATTCTTTACTAGTGGTGGGAGGATACGCGAACATATTTGAACCACTAAAAAGACCACCACCGACTAGAGGGGACGCCTTTA